CACACACACACACACAGTGACGTCCTGTTTTGATGCCATGCCTGGGTGGAAAACAGTGAAGTAGTCTAAACGGACCAGGCATGTTTGTTTTACGATCTTGGAGAGGGATGGAAAAATCAGCTGGGGAACAAAGAGCTTGAAAAGAGTCCCTTGTTTACGTGTACACTCACACACACAGTTCGTTGGCAGTCATTAGTAAGAAATGTGATTTAAATCATCACAGCTGGTGTCATTATTGTGGAGTGTGTGTATCTTTATTATTTTAATCAGATATGCAAACGTCACGGAAGTGGGACAGACAGTACAGAAAGTTCTTCTTTTTACTCAGCAACCTTCCAGACTAATATGATAAGAGGAGCAGTCGTTTATCTCAACTGTAGGAACTGAAACCACAACTTTTGTTTCCATTCAACAAAATATGTCAAACTTCTCAATGACTGACAACTTCTTCATTAGTAGTTAAAGCAACTGTACAAGAACTTAGTAACGGCAAAGACTAAGAATCCAACTAAGCATTTAATGCAAATGTTTGATGCTTCTTGTGGTTCCTCCACACACATCCTTCTGGTGTGCAAATTGCTAAGATATGAGCTGTTTTGTTGAGGATAAAAACAAACGTCTGAGAAAGGGGCCTAGTCTTTTCTTTTGAACTGGTGTGCCGAGCTGAGGATGAGACGAGGGAGGAATGCCACCAAGGGGGGTTCTATGAGTTTACTTGATTGATGTCAAGTACCCAATGAAATAATACCAGTTAGAGAAGATTATGTGGATCATATTCGCGTGCTTGTCAGTTCTGAGGATGAGCATGTCGTGTATTTACTCCAGACAGGTCTGACAAAGAGACAGAGGACACTTCTGAATCACAGGATGAGAGCAAAACATTTCCTGACAAGAGGTATCTCTCCACTTAGATTCTGCCAAAGCCTCAATTATTTATCTGGCATTAGGGACTTATAATAGCATATTCATGAAAATATCACATCATCATCATCATCTGTCAGTGTTGCATTTGCACAGTGTATCTTGCAACTGTGACTTTATAGCTGCTATCATTTACCCCCATCTTGCAGCACTGGCACTTCTGAGGTAAAAGTTTGCTTCTGAGCAGTTTGAGGTTTGTTTATTGGAAGAACAACACGACAATGTTTTTTCCCCCCAAGTTTCATTCAACATTCAAGTAGCACATTAGCATTCAATGTTCAAGGGCTTCTATTCAGTTACAATTTCGGTCGCATATTCAGTAGATTCTGCCTGGAAATTATGTAAAAGCTGAAGAACACTGTGATGATTCAGGTATGATACTATACAGATTTAGGAATATAGTGAAACTATTGAAACTGAGTGGTATTTTCACTTTTCAGTACATAAAAAATCCTATTGATGTGGGTTATTTTATATACAAATATAAAATCTAAAACTGGGGTAAAAACATTAGCACTCTACTTGAGAACTACATGAAATTAATCAACCTCCCAACTCCGTATTTGAAGAGGATCTGATCATTTCCATATCTATTCTAATTCCAGTTTTGATTTTTAACCTTATTGAAACACATTTTAAACATGTCCTATCTTAAATCCTGCACTGATAATCATTAAATTAATAGATTTTTGCTTGTAGTTGGAAAATCACAGACTGGTAACACTGCTGAGGTTCTTGTGAATCTGTACAAGAGACTTCTGATGTTCTTTCTCACTTAGAAACTGTGAGAGAAAATAGCTGTGAATGTGAGGCCCATAAAAACGCAAATCCATCTGGGGTCAACAACAGTGTGTGAGATTAGTATAGTGGCTTTAACCCATTAGTGTGTAGAGATAGGCATAAAAGAAAAAGGATATTGCTAATGTGGCTGCTCTCACCAGTTCTACACATAAATATATCATATGAGCTTTGCCAAATAAACTTGATACTAAGAGATATTTGTAGCATTTTACACATTTTGAAGCTAGTAATCTTTCGCATAGACGAGTCCCCGAGTCAAGAAGACATCACTGTATCAGTTTAGGACTTTT